CTCTATTTATAGGGTTAGGATGCACAGAAATCGAAGGGGCATGATTCAACACAGGCGCGGGAAACCAGAACATCACATCACCCTCTGAACCGCCTCGGGAGCAAATATAATAATGACGCATACAGGCGATGATGTCATTCCAAAGAGAAAGCCACGCGTCAGTGGCTCAACAACGTCATACATTTCACCTCATTCATATTGCCGCCCCTGGTCGAGGTCAAATTCTCCTAAGTCGAGGTTTGCATTTCCGCCCATCGAAGACGCCCACCGAATGCGTCTCCAACGAGTGGAGGGACTAACTGTATAGGGTCAAATTTGACCGTCAGCGTCTCTACGCCAATGGGTACGCCCAGTGAGTGTATGCCGACTAACGTAATGGGTACGACTCGGACGTGGGGACAAAAGCGACATCGTTTAGGACTCAGTGTCTTCACTAGGAAAACGTTACCTATTTTTGTAACTTTTTGATTATTTCGAGGAAGGTCTCTTATTATATAAGGGAGACCTTCACATTGTAAAAGGGGAGGGGGGTGATTCTTGAATAATACAACTCTCTCATTTTCTGACTTTCTCTCTCTATCTCTGTCTCAAACGAACATATTCTCTTGAGTTCATATTATCACTTTACAATACTAGATCTACAACAATAACATCATCTTTACATCTTTAGGTCTATTATATTTGATTACGATTTACCCTTTCTTACTTTTGATTGTTTTTAAGCTTGCAAAGTATATCGATAACTTTTGAGCCAAACAGACAATTCTTAGCTCTTGAACTAACTTTTGAGTTTGAGGTTTGTTTTATATTTTTTTCTTTATCAAAATCTCATACGAATTCCTTTCAATAACTACAAGTAAAAAAAATTGAGAGTTTTCCATTGTATGGGGTAAAATTGGTTGATGATAGTTGTTCGAATGGTGAGGTGACACGTACAATCGAGGGCGGGTAAAAGATGAATCAGCAAACAGCTGGCACCGGGAGCGATTGTGTGACTGGTGCAAGATGGATCCCGAAGGCAGAATAGCTGACAATAAAGATTCATAGTTTTTGGTATCAGACAACATTTAATGAGCAGCTATTACAGAGAATTTCAGCATTCAAAGCTAACCGTTGTGCGGCCATCAATGACGATTTTATTCTTATTCAAGAGGAGCTTGATTTTAGGATCTTGTCTCTCTAAGTAAGACTATAAATAGGAGGATTACCATCCATTGAAGGATAGAAAACGATTCTATATATAAAAATTATAATCTATATCCATGTTACTCTCAATTCTGGCATGTGAATATTGCATATACACTTGTCGCTGGAAAGGCTAAAGTTCTTAGTTCGTGCTTGTTATTTTTTTTAATTTCGTTTGTTAATTTTATCTCTACTTTTATTGTACTTGTTATTTTTGGGTCAAATTAATTTATTTGTTTATAAAATACGTTATAAATTCAACTGTTTTACGAATAAACATATACCTCCTTGTATTTCTTATGTTAGTTTTGCTACAAAGAATTAAGAAAGCTGGTCAAAGTAAAGGTTCACTGAGGTCTCTATCGTATCTTAACCGAAAAAGAGAAAGAGATTTGAGTTCAATGGCTTCTTCAATACTCGTATTGACCGAGTAGTGGACGTGGACTAATCGCGTGCACAAACAGGGAAATTTTAGCTTTCACAGTTAGTAAAAAAGCGCAAGTAGTTCCAGACTGCAGTGCAGAACTGCATTTGCACATCTGTAAACTTTCACCAATTCGGATTGTTCATTATTACTCTTGATTTTCTCTCAATCTCTCTTGCCCATTTATATGACCAGATCCTGTCCCCTAGGCCTAGCCATACCAAATTATATATGGAGTACACAAGTACACATCTCCTTGTCTATCCCTGTTGGGCGGTGAACGGTGTTCTAGTCCCGTTCTGCCCCATACCCTCTCGTCAATATTAAGACCGATAGTTTACGAGTAAAGTCAAACCTCTATACAAGAGCTTTATTTGTTTTGATATCTTTTAGTTGTTATAGTGAAGTGCTGTTATAGAAGACATATTATAACATAACATAAAAATCGATTCAGGCTTTTATAATAAATATCTGTTATATAGAGATGTTTCGTAAATATTGAAAGTGTTATAAGTTAAATTAGCTATAAGAGTGATGAATAATCAATTTTTAAGTAAGAATATCAACTGATTATTATCATTTTCAATATTTCTATTCAACGTACATCACTATTTATTTCAACCGCACAAGTATTTTGAATTTTGATGCTAAGACGACAACAACAACGCCAGTAAAATTTCACAAGTGGAGCCTGGGGAGGATAGAGTGTACGCAGACTTTACCCCTACTCCAAGGGAGTAGAGATGTTGTTTCTTATAGACCCTCGACTCAAGGAGACAAAAAAGACAATATATCAGTACCAACAACAAAAACCATAGAAATAATAATAGCATCACATCTACAAAACTTTGATGCTTAGAAATGGAGTATATTCTTTCCCTTCATACAATCTAACAAGCTAAATGGCGTAAATTATTCCCTTCATACAAGCTAACAAGTAAAAAACAATAATGACGAAAAAAGATAAACAAGTATATGCGAAATTTATTGCATTGAGATAGCTACTGAGACTAGCATATATTGGTTATTTATTTCAATTAAAATGTATACTCGACTTAGGGAGGTGCGTTTGCTCTTCGCTAATTATATTCCATTGAGCTGGAAGTCGTCTTAAATCCAAATATAAGTCCTCGAATGAGCATAATGCGACATGTGTTGCAAAATTTGGGCACGCAAACCATATCTTAAAATGTATGATGATCAATATGGGCTATGGCCTAATTTATGGCTTCCGCCTGCGGAAACAGTTGGTATAGTAGCTGGATCAAAGCCGTCCCTATAGTTGCTCTCGATGAGATCAAAGTTCATGCATTTGCCGTCCCCTATATTTTTTTTGTTTGTCATTCTATGTTTGGTACTATTAGTTTTGATTTTGGGCTAATTCGAATTCGCGCTACTTGGAGCCCATTAAAGAAAGAAATGTTTCATAGAAGAAATTTTTTTCATTTTCAAATTTGAATTCGAGCCTCTAATTAAAAGTGAAGGAATCATATTTATCCGACCATAATCCTTAGTGGTGCCGTCCCTCGTATCCATAATGCCGTTCATCTACTTACCTCCAAAATCCTAACGTCCAATTTCCAACCCCAACAAAATCATGGCCCACACTAGATACTGCATCTATGCAGACGTAGGTAGAGGGATTTACTAGTAAGTGCGGTTTACTGTTTCATGTAATCCACTGATTGATACTATTTCATTTTGAAAATGTTCTACTTCAAATTTATTGAACTATATAAACCTAAAAGTTGGAGTGGCAAACGGGTGGGTCGAGTTGGATATGGTTTGGGTCGAAAATGGGTAATGAAACGATAAATTATTCGACCCGACACATGTTTAATTCGGATAAAAAACGGGTTAACCAACGGATAATATGGTTTATGACTTCTTGCATATGATCACTTTTGGGAGAATTTCTAGTCTCCTAACTTGAGAAACCCCCAATTTAAGGCTTTACAAATATAAAAGATAGACCCATTGGTTATTCATTGGTTATCCAATTTCTAAATGGATAATATGGTTCTTCCATATTTGACCCGTTTTTAAAAAGTTCATTATCCAACCCATTTTTAGTGGATAATATGGGAGGTTAACTGTTTCTTTTTAACCATTTTGCCACCCCTACTTAAAAGTATGGAATAAATTTGAATTTTTTTCTCAAAGTATTTTGACACATGAAATATATTCAATCCACGTCAGAGCTACGTTAATGACAACCGTAAGTTGACGGCTATTTACTATCGGCAACAATATGAACGGATCTAAAGTAGGACATATGATAAAATTGAGCAATTTTACATTATTACGAGCAAATTTTTCTTTTCCTGAATATTTTGAACTATATCAATTAAAATTTTTTCGCTAATATAAACTTAAATGACCTCATAACAGGAGACTTTTTTAATAGGAAACTTTTTAACTATCATTTAAATTTATTACTAATATAATTTAAAGCGACACCACAATAATTAGATGGAATCAAACATCACAATTAGGGGTGTTCATAAAAACCCGAAAAACCAAAAACCAAATCAAATCGACCAAAAAAATTGATACTTTTTGGTTTGGTTTGGTTTGGTTTTGGCTTTGAATTTTAAAAACCGATCAAATTTGGTTTGGTTTTGGTTTTAATTAGATAAAATCGAACCAAACCGACTATAGGGTAGCTATTTCAAATTTATTATTACACCTATATATATGTATATTTTTATACAAAGTTTTCAAATTTTTTATAGTAAATGTTAATCGTTTGCACTTTTAGTACAGTTCTTTAACTTTACATTCTAGTTTGATTGTAGTTTTCTTTTGTTAAATGTAAGAATCCATTTCATGTTAAAAATAATATATATTTTTAATTGAGTCGTTAAATTATTCATCACTATTTGATTCAATTATCATCAATATATCTTGGAAAATAATAGATTTCTCAAAGAGCAATTGATTTGATAGTGCTACGTTGAAAATGTGGTCACCGGAATATGTATTTGGTAATGTATGTCTTATATTTAAGAAAAAACCGACAAATAACCGAAAAAACTAAAAAACCGATAAAATCTGACATAAACCGAATCGAGAAAAAACCGACTTAATTGATTTTGGTTTGGTTCTAATATTTAAAAAAACCGACTTACTTGGTTTGGTTTCCTTTTAGGAAAAACCGATCCAAACCGAACTATAAACACCCCTAAATCACAATATATAATGCAATAAAAAATACACCTAATGTGTAAATAAATTACAGCTACTATAATCGGTGCAATTACATCCGTTACTAGAGCCTAGATCCATTGTGGGTCAACTACGGTAAAAATCAGTGTTTTTAACCATGGTAAAAGAGTGAAGTCAGGCCCAATATAACACTGTCTCAACCCTCACTACACTCCTTAACTCTGGCGCTCACTTCTTTCAAGTTTCCTCTCTCGAGTTTCGTGTTTTCCGAAACTATTAAACAAATAAAAACTCACACTGCTCCATTCCTTTCCTGCTCCGCTGCTTCTTCTGCACTTACTCTGTAGATGTGTCGCAGATACACGTAAAAAGCTTGTGAGAGACACAGAGGAGAAAGCAGTAACTTCTCGTTGCGCTACAACTTTCTTCGTCGGAAATGACAGTGTTTGGCCATTCAGGTGTCGGAGGTGGTTTCCTCGCCGGAAAACAGGTTTTTCCGGTGAACTACGAGGTTGAAGTTTCCCGTCGTCTTCTCGAAGCTTCGCATTCAAACGATCTGATATTAGCTCTCGAATGCATCGCCGATCCGTTCGTTGACGTAAATTTCGTCGGCGATGTGTGCTTGAAGGTGAGAAAGGCGGAGGTCGTGACGCATGATGAGTTGCCGAACGAAGTTAGGATCGTATACGAGGAGTTCAAAACGGACGTTACGGCATTGTTCCTCGCCGTTCATAATGGAAATGTTGCTCTTGTGAGAAAACTACTGGTGAAATAACCTCAGCTTTGCTCTACATCCTTCAATTAGTAATAAATTATTGTTGTTGTTCCAGTGTTTTGCCTACTTGATTTGAACTGTTTTTAATTTAAATCACTGACTATTCTTTCGTGTGATGTAGCATATTTATATTCAGCTGAAACTTCTCCACCTGCATTTCTGATTATCTTAAATGCAGACCTTTGGTTATGACTTATGAGTCTTATGACTAGCCATTATGGTGATCTTCTCTAATTAATGCTCCTTTAAAAATTTAAAGAATTAACATTTTGCATCGCCTTTTGTAAGTAATTTGAATTTTGAATTTTGCTGGATAAGAACTACATCTTTCCGTCCGGTCTTCTGTCGTTATCTTACTGTAAAAGTAGCTGATAAAGCTCGCAGTTAATATCGAACTATTTTGCCTTACAATTTTCCTTTATTATTTCTGCATTTTGTTAACTTTTTTGTCCTAGTCTTTTTTCTTTTGTCCCTTTCGACCATATTATCGCCTGTTTTCTCTCGACATCTTTGGTTAGAAATTTTTTACTGCCTATCAAGGAAACAAAGAAACTTAATTTTCAACTACTTGATTATGGAAAACGATGTCACCTATTTTCTCAGTATTTGCTTTAACCATCGTCACTGTAACTTGTCTTTTAAGATTGCCTAAAGTTACTGTTAGCTATTTACTTAATTTTAAGAAAAAAGGTCACCTTTTCCCCAATACTTGATTTACCTATCTCAGTGCAGCTTGTCTTTTAGGATTGCCCAAAATTACCGTCATTAAACCGCAGTATAGTAGTTCTTTTACAAGGAAGAAGATGACTTTGCTTTAGTTTTTCTCTACAAAGAGTTTTGCCTTAATTAATTACTAATATGGGAGCGTTTGTAATTAGAGGTCGATTATTTGCCATATTTTTAATGTAATTTTCTTTTTGTGTACCTATTTTTACTCTCCTTGTTTATTTATTTACTTACTATTTATTTGCATTTCCTAGTCTTACAATTTTTCGTCTCGCTGCTAGAGGTTTTCAGCTGTTGTTCAATTTTGGGTGATAACGCTTGTTAGTAAATGAGTCAATCAAGAGATTTCACAAATATTCTTTTCAAAAGCAACATTCTGCTATCAACTGCTTAGCTCCTTTATTCATTTTTTTAGCTGAAACAAGGTACTAAATCATGAAATCAGCAGAGAAATGTTGTAAAAGTGAATACATTAAAGCTCAGTTTGAGTGCTCAGTTCCACCGTGACATATGTACCTTGACTCACTGAGGTCCTGCAACATATGACTTGCAATTTCCTGTTGCAGTTTTTCCCATAACAGTTATAATTTCTGTTTGTATCAGACTCTGATGGAATAATATAGAAAACTAGGATTAAAAGGCATTTACTGGAATCATTTGAAAATTGAATTGCGTAGGTAACAATGAAAATCATTCATGCAGTCCTAAATGTGAAAAAATCAAAAAACTTGAAGCTGAATGTTTATCAAAGAAAGTTGATAATCATGTGTGATTTTATTTTGAATCTGATTAGGACAGAATTAGGCCCTGTGCTTTTCCCGGTGGCTCATTTTCAGTTCACTGATATAAGAGTGCAGGCAACTAGTCCTGGAAACTGAATAACATAGTGTTTATCTTTCTTATCCCTTATTTTGTCTATGGTTGTCTCTACGCACATATTTGCTAGCTGAATAAGATTCCTTGTCAACTGTGAGGTTCATCAATGTCATCCTTTGGAGTTTTTCGCTTCCTTCTTTTCCTCATCAAATCAAACTATGCGCTCTGAGTAACTTATAATATAGTCTGGCATTTTTCTGCAGAGTATTGGAGCCGATGTAAATCAAAAACTTTTCAGGGGATTCCCAACCACAGCAGCAGTGAGGGAGGGACACCAAGAGATCTTAGAGGTGTTAATTAAAGCTGGGGCATCTCAGCAGGCTTGTGAGGAAGCTCTGTTGGAGGCCAGCTGTCATGGGCATGCAAGATTTGTCGAGCTGCTCATGGAATCAGAAATGATTCGACCTCGGATTGCTGTACATGCTTTCTTCACTGGATGTTGCCGTGGATTTGGAGATGTTGTGGACACTCTCCTTAAGGTGGAACATTAGACTAGCTTTATGATACTATATTTGTGCAGGATACCACTAATGATAATATGACACTAAATGAACTGCTAACATTAAGTCAGATGTTTCCAACTCAAGTTCAAACTACAAAACATTTTTGATAAGAGAAAAGCTTGTCATTATTTTTGCATTTCTCTCCTTGCTGATACCCTTAAATGCTATTTGCTACAAATTAGCCAATTCAAGTGGGTTCACTGCTTTGAGCCGCTTGAGATATTTGAGAATGATATTCGTGTACACTTTTTTTTTCCTCTCATAACGTGATGTCCAATCCAACTTGTGTGCACCTTGATCTATACATCCAGCTACCTCTTTAAGTGTTTTACCATTGTACTGTGCCTTGGTTGCTTGCTCTGTACTACTCTTGTATCTTTCTTCTTGGGAGCAACTGTGGCCACCGGATGCTTGTCGTCAATCTTCTTGACACTATTGTTGCTTGCTTGATGCAGTGTGGAGTGAATGTCGATACTACAAATCGTGTTTTGCTCCAGTCATGCAAACCTTCTCTGCATACAAATGTTGACTGTTCGGCACTTGTGGCTGCTGTTGTTAGTAGGCAAGTCTCTGTAGTCCGTCTACTGCTTGAGGTAATTGCCTCGAAATGGATCACTAGTTATTGACTAAATGCTTCCTAAATGCAACGCTTGACTTCCTTAATATACTCAGCAATTAACTAGAATCCTCTTCCCATTTGTATAATCCTAGTTAAAATTTGGATATGTTACTAAAGAATTGAACCTGACGCTCCACCAAAAAAAAAAAAGAAAAGAATTGAACCTGATGCAATGTCTTTCATCCCATAGGAAACTGATAGGGCAAGCAGATTACTATTGTCTTTGAGAACTACATATTGAGCCATGTTTATTTTTACTATTGACTAACTTGGCCTTCCCTTCGTTTTTGGACTCCCAAGGCCGGCGCAAAAACTGATGGCCCAGTCCATCTTGGAGCTTGGTCCTGGGATGCAGCTTCAGGTGAAGAATTTCGAGTAGGTGCTGGATTAGCAGATCCCTATGCCATTACTTGGTGTGCTGTGGAGTACTTTGAAGCTAGTGGCTCTATTCTGCAAATGCTCCTCCAGCGGCTCGCCCCCAGTACACTCAGTGGTAGATCCCTTCTCCACCATGCTATTCTTTGTGGTAATGCAGGAGCAGTTTCAGTGCTTCTGAAATGTGGTGCTCATGTAGAATCTCCAGTTAAAACCTCTCGGAATGTTGAGTTCCGCCCTATACATATGGCAGCACGACTTGGGTTCTCAAGCGTTATTAAATGTTTGATTGACTTTGGCTGTGATCTAGACTCAAGAACGGACACAGGAGATACAGCTTTAATGATCTCTGCGAGATTCAAGAGGGAAGACTGCCTCAAAGTATTGACTATAGCTGGTGCTGATTTTGGTTTGGTTAATGCAGCTGGTGAATCAGCAAGCTCCGTTGCTGCATCCAGTCGATGGAAGCTTGGTTTTCAAGGTGCAGTTCTGGAAGTCATTCAGAGTGGAAAGATTCCCAAGTCAAGCAACATGTCTGTCTTTTCGCCCTTACTGTTTGTGGCTCGTTCCAGGGACCTTTTATCCTTAAAAGCTCTGATTGGACGAGGAGATATTGATCTGGATAGCCAAGATGACCAAGGTTTCTCCGCTGTAATGATCACCGCTGCAGAGGGTCATGTAGACGGCTTCAGATTGCTTGTGCATGCCGGTGCTAATGTCAAGCTGCAGAACAAATCTGGGGAGACTGCTGTTACCCTCTGCGCACTAAATCAAAATCGTGATCGATTTGAAAAGGTTCTGCTCGAATTTGCTCTTGAACAGGGTAGTCGAAACGCTGCAGGTTTCTATGCACTGCATTGTGCAGCTCGATGTGGCGACTTGGATGCAGTTAAACAGTTAACAACCAGGGGTTATGATGTAAACATGTCCAATGGGGACGGTTACACACCACTCATGCTTGCAGCAAGGGAAGGGCATGGCCGCACATGTGAATTCTTAATCTCTTGTGGGGCACGATGCGATATCAAGAACGCATTGGGTGAAACTGCACTTTCCCTTGCTAGGCAGACACAGAAAAATGAGGCAGAGAGGGTGATACTGGATGAACTTGCTAGGAAACTGGTCTTAACTGGTGCCCAAGTGAAGAAGCACATAAAGGGAGGTAAAGGGTCTCCACATATGAAAGTTCTTAAAATGGTTGAAGCTGCTGGAATATTGCGTTGGGGAAAATCAAGCGGACGTAATGTTGTATGCCGGGAGGCGGAAGTGGGACCGAGTTTGAAGTTTCAGAAGATCAGGCAAAGAAAAGGTGATGCTGAGCTACCTGGAATATTTAGGGTGATCACGACCAAGAACAAGGAAGTGCACTTTGTGTGTGAGGGTGGTTACGAGACGGCAGAGCTTTGGGTGAGAGGAATAAAGCTTGTGACAAGAGAAGCTATTTTTAGCAAGTAGAGATATTTGTCGGCGATAAGCAAGAGAGTTTAGATGTATAGTTATTAGCTTACTACTTCATTTTGTCATATGCTTAGAAGAGTTCTTACTCAATGTAGAGTTTTTCTCTTTTAGTATATGTAGTACTTCATCTTGTAGTACTTCGTCTGTAAATGGCATCTTAACGAGAAAAAGAACAGTTGAGAAGATGAAAGCTTTTATTGCCGTCCAGATTCATCATGTAGGGAGTGGGATTTTAGTTTTCTTTCAGTCAAGCTTCAGTTAGTTGAGATACTGCAGATCGAACTGTGTACGCGAGGCCAATCCTGTTCCCACGACATTATCATCTGCGTACTTTTCAACTTATGATAATTCTCTATTTCATGTAAGCTTACAGACCTTTGACGTTCCAATGAAAATTGAACCAATATGGTAAGGGCCTCTGATCACGCCCAATTATGCCTTATAAAAAGGATTAAGCGGACGTTGCAAATATAATCTGAGTATTTAGCCCAGAGTCGAACACACAAGAAATTAACCTATCAATTACTCTTGTTAGACTCACTAAATTCTACGTAATCAACTTCCCAAACGTTGCGAATAACAATTGAGGATATTTTTACTAACTATAACTGACTGCAATTAAGTAAATAAAGACTAACTATGATTAAGTTGTAAACAATTAAGAGAAGGATCTAAGGTTATGATTTCCACTATTAATGGAATCCCTTCATGTTATGTTTCATATAGATTTGCCTAACCGTCTCTATCAATCATGAGCACTCTTATTACCGTAAATCTCTCTCGAGTAATCACGACAATTTACTAGACGCACTCCCCCGAGTTACGCTAGCTGGCTTTTATTACAGCTCACTTAAGATTGCACCCAAGGCTTCGTTATCCCTAATCCCGCCTTTAAATCCTCAGTTATTGATCCCTCATATACTTTGGGAGTGATGTTGTTCAATAATAACCTAAATATGCACCCTCTCCCGAGTAATACATACTAAATAGGCACAGCTAATTGAGGATCCTATCAATTAACTACAACAAGAACGTAGTTGAACAAATAGAAAATAAACCGGGCAAACTATATTAACATAACACGAAGTTCATCCTTCAATAGGTTCCATCAAAACCCTAGACAAAGTATTTAGCTACTCATAACAAAGCAAGATGAAATCACTAAAGTATTCATAATGTGCAAAATAGAATAACAAAGAGAAGATTGAAAAACTCTAATAGTTGATTGCTCTTCTCACTCTTGTTCTTCCTCCCAATGCAGTCTAAAAACAAGCATAACCTTTTATTGGGCGAGTTTGTTGTGTCTATAAAGGGTTAGAATAAGTTTCCCTCGATTTACACTTTAGTCCCAAAATTTCTGGACAATTACACAGTCCACCGTGGTCGCGGCAGAACGCGGCACGACCGCGGTGAAACACAAGTATTCTGCCTCACGTTCTTGGCCTACCGCGGTCCCGCCGCGGTCGCGGTGGCTTCTTGCCCAGCCTCCTTTACTCTTTCTTGCTTATTTCTGTTTGGGTTCTTCTTGATTGGCCTTATATCCACATTGTTGACTCCAAAGCACTCCATAGTATCTTCCTAAATTGGATTAGTCCCTGCAAAGCAAAAGAACAAGATTTAGAGTATCTAGTTATCATTTAGCCTTTAAAACAACCATAAAGTATGGCACAATTAGAGTGTAAATAACATCTATATAGCCTATTATCAACACCCCACACTTAAACCGTTGCTAGTCCTCTAGCAACAAACACTCTTATATTATACCAAGAATAGTTCACATGGATAGACTACTTCAGCGCAACCTCCTCGCCTCAAGAGTGGACTCCTTTCTAGCCACGCAATGCCCCTAAACAACTCTCCTACTCTCAGTCAGAGGTCCAGCTCGACTACGACAACAAGTAACTCGACGACAGTCGAAGTTACGTACATGGCTAAGGCCATCAACGATATTATGGCTAAGGCCATCGACGTTNAGAAATTCATACAAAATAGTCCCAAAAGGCTCATAAGTTGTGCTTGATTGTAGGTTTGATCATCAAAGTGACGAGACGTCAAAGATCAGCTCAAACGGAGTGAAACCCGCACAAGTGCCAAAGACAAGACAAGCTCAGGCTAAACAGGCCTAGTGCGGCCTCACACCACTTTGGGCGGTCCGCACTAGGAGATTCAGAGAGGCTAAATTTCAAGCTAAGAGGCAGTGCGACCGCATAAGGTTTTGTGCAGTCCGCACTGAAGGCAATGCGGCCGCAGTCGATTTAGTGCGGTCCGCAGAGCCGAGAATCAGAGAGGTTGCATTTTCAGAGTTTCAAGCTTCCGCGGTCCGCAGTGCGTTTTACGCGGACCGCACTAGAAGCCTCCACGGCCACAGTCCATTATGTGCGGTCCGCGGAGCCTGAGTTCAGAGAGCTGGATTTTGAAGCCAAAAGCCCAGTGCGGACCGCGGTCCATTTTGTGCAGTCCGCACTAACCCCGTAGGGGCATTTTTGTCAAGATCTTTCAGCCTAGTATAAATAGCTTCTTTTTCCATTTTTAGGGAGGAGATATTGTAATTAAGCAGCTGCACTCGTGGGTTCGACTTTCTAAGCCATTTTGGGAAATTTTAGCTACTTTTAATCATTGAATCATTGTATTTAACTTAGTAATTAATTATTATGAGTTTTTCTTCATCTATTTCTTGCTTTTCTTCTTTAATTATGAGTAGCTAAACCCATAAGCTAGGGTTGTGGCTCAACCCTAGTATGGGTAATTGATGGATCTTGTATTTTAGGGCTAATTTGACTATGAGTGTTTGTTATTTGGGCCAATTTCATGATTTAGTTTCTGAATTAGTGGTTGCAAACACTAGTTTGTGTTGAGTTGACTTGAGCTCTTCTTGAGAAAGAGAGCCTAAGTCTCTGAAATTGGTCCAACAATGAATTGGGGCGTACTCAAGAGATTGATAGCCCCAATTAAAGGGTTAAACCTCGAGAGAGTAATATCCAAATTGAACCCTAGTTGCTTGTGCAAATTTGCATACCCAATTGGTCTTGAGAAAGCCAATTTGGGCAAAATCACTCGAACCACCGAGAGGTGTAGAGTGGGTAAAGTCGTGCAACGGTTATAACATACTCCCCAAACGTGTCAAGCATGCCTTAGATTCAAGTACCCGTCAATTGACCACCTAGGCGGTAGTCACTACCCTAGTGCCTTTTAAGCCTATTTGAACAACTCGTAGCATTATAACTCTTAGCATAATTTAGTTGCAATTACCATTTGTAGATTGATAATTGTAGAAGTAAACAAAAACCCCAAAAATATTGAGAAGTGTAATTAAGAACACATACGCAATCCTAAACTAGATAGATACTCGATTCCAATTCTAGCTCTCTGTGGATATCGATCCCGACCCAAAATCGGGTAAAAGCTATTGCGACCCTCTCTTGCTACTTTTTAGTAGTGAGGAGTTGGCAGCGATCACCTACTCACTACAAAAGAGGATTATATCGTTTACAAATCACACACTGAGGAATTCGAATACAACATTTCACTCACCCTCAGAACAAATTCTTATGCCACAAACAACACACCATAGGCTTGCCCGTAGTGTAATACTCGACTAATCGAGCTCATTCGATCTAGAATCAAGTAGGACTTTATTTGGTTGTAATGTTGGCTGCGGGACGGGTAGGATACATCTGGGTATAGTGACTACACCTCCCTAAGCACTCCACTACATTGTGTACTTTTAAACTCTTCACTTTATCACACCTTCCTTCTACCAATACATTAGTGTGTTAACCCCTTCTTTTTTCTTCTTAACCACACTTTTTCTTTTAATAGCTGCCACCACTTTGATGCTTCTCTTTTTTTTTTTTTTTTTTTTTTTTTTTTTTTTTTTTTTTNACTTTTGATGCTTCTATTTTTTTTTTTCTGGTGACCTCTAATATTGTTTATCAACAATTGCACTTTTTCTTTTTGTCCCCTTAATTCCACTTAACAGCCCAACCAATCATCCCACACTTATATTTTTCCATATCCGTTATACTTTGAGTGCTTCTAAGAGCTGATAAGGTTCAACAAGATAGGCTATGTAAACTCAGGTTAGGCTTGTAATGTGGTTGCCAAGAAAAACAGGTCTACAGGCTCAACGGGGTTGACTAGGGTATACCATTTAGGTGGGAACAAGCATACATATAAGGGTTAAGCAAAGAAACGCCTCTATCACTTTCCAGACCAAACAAGGCTACCATTTCGCTTTGCACACACACAGGGCAAGTTCTAGGCATTGAATGTTAACACAGAATACATAAAACCTCACTCACACACGGCACATGACTCAATTCAGTTAGGATCATCAGACACTCCGTTCTAAGTACTTGAGCCATTCAGGGACACACAATTTAAGGCCTTCTTTGTGTCAACTAAAGAGCCTAAGTGTCACACTAAAGCAGTCTTATTCAAGGTACCTTAGAGTTAAGGGTCCCTATTTCCATTTCCCGCCCAAGACTTTCTAAACTAAAAAAAAGGAAAAACGCTAACTACACCCGGTTCAAATAGAAACCCTTGGAAAAGAACCGTGGTCTAAAGAAAAACTAAGGGGGAGTTGATACACTACCTAATCAAATGAAAATCTTTTCTTTTTTTTTTCTTTTTTTTTTGTTCGACTTATGTCCCTCAAGAGACCCGTCGAGAGGTGTCCATCTTTGGGCCAGGTCGAATTTAACTAACATAAACCAACAATACCAAACAACAAAACAACACCATACAAAGTTATATAATTTTTACAACAACAACCATCCCCCACCCCACACTTCAAGCTTTGGCATGTCCCCATGTCAACGAATATAAAGCAGAGTAAGGTAAAGGGACTTCCATGAAGCTCAATCCTGATCCGATATAGTGCTAGGATCGAGGTGAAATGCTCGTCCTAGTGCCCGGAGCCAGCCCATGATCTTTTTCTCCAACTTGGCCTGTTGAGTAGTCAAATTGTCAACTCGGGTGCCCAGGTCAGTGACAGAAGTGCGAAGGCCAGTCATTTCTTGCTCTAGGGCTGTCAAGCGGGTACTTCGGCGGGCCTGTGATGGGCCCGCCTCATCAGCTCTTGGCGGTGGTGGGGCGGCAGTGTCCTCAGCATCCTCACCAGCATCGACTACCACTACCGGCTCTCTCCCCACTGTGATCTTGCTAGCCCGGAATGGGGCTTTCACTGGAAATTTCCCATCTACTCTGGGATTTTCAGGGACTCGTGCAACACGGCACAGCTTGGTAACCAGAGAGGGGAAG